TAGCCTCACAATTATGCATGCATATGAGGCTGCAATCCACAGATCAATTCCCGTAGAAAATCTTTTCTACATGGGTAATATAATTTAGCAAAATGCCTGTGTGTGTGTGCAATCACCTCATACCCTTTTTTTTTGCACAAGCACGCGTGTGTATTATGAGATGCTTATTATTCACAATAGCAATATACTACGAGGACATGAGAAGATCAAGCACAAAACATCAGCTTCAAAAAAGCGAGTTCACAGTGAATAGAAACCTGATTGATATCTTCATCTGTAAACTCTAGCAATGGTCTGAATCCTTTGTTAGTGCCAGCATTGTTTATCTGCACACTCAAATCAAAAGTACATTCAGTAACATAATTTCAGTGAATGCATGTTAATAAAAAATAATATAATTATGAATTAAGTAAGAAAATCATCAATGTTGATACCATAATTAAAATAGGTCTAAAGTAGCACAAAAAGGAGGATTGATCAACAGGTTGATAAGCAGTTTAAGAGAAAAAGACGAGGCAGATCAAGTACGATGGAGAATGAATTAAACATGACTAGGAGGCAATGTTTCAAACAATGATCATAGATATAGTTTGCTTACCCAAATGTCAATTCTACCCAGCTCACTGGCAGCAAAGTGAGCCAACTTTTTGACATCATCAGGATTGCAGACATCACATGCAATGCCAACAACTTTAGCACGAGAAAATTTTTTCGCGCCTTTCTCCCCAGCCATTTCTATACCCTCCTTTAGGTTTTCTTTGAGTTCTTCCACTGTCATATCAACTGATTCAGGGCTGCCTTAACGAAAACAGGTTGAATACTTAGTCAAATGGCACAAGCATAATAATAAATGAAATAAAATCACCAAGGGTGAGAAGGCTTGAAATACCACCTGCGTGAAGCAATCACAACACGGTCTCCAGAAAGCAGAAACTCACGAGCAAGTGCTTTACCCAATCCTCTTGTGCTGTAAATTATGTGTATTAAAGGAGCTTTTAGCCACATGATTTAAGTTCTTACCTTACGTTGCTATGACTAACTGCATTAACCAGAATTTAGAACACAGGAACAGTATTGAAAAATAGCAATAACTTAAACCATCCTCTGCATATCGAAGTAAAAATTCACTAAGTAGGGACTCACCCATCATAGTAAAACAGTAAAAGTAAAATAAGTGCTAATTGCACTTGTTTACATATGGCGAAAAATGATTCTTTTTCACAAGAAAATTGAATCCCTATCCTAATCTGTGAAGTACCCTTGAGCATTACAATAAACATAGAATTCTCTACATAAAAATATACTAGAAAATTAGAACTACTTGATAGATATGCTACCTCCCGGTTATTACAACATTGCGAGGTCCAGCTTTGCTGTGCTCTTCTAGAACCATGTTTGCCCCAATCATTGTTCCAATGATTACTCCACCAAGCCAACTATACCAAATCAGTGTGTTCATCTGGCTATCCCCGCCTTTAAATTGACAATGAAAACAGCCCAAAATTCAGATCATTGCACAAATTTGTTAATAAAAAGTATAGCAAAGAAATAGAAACAGAAAACTCGCACACCTGACAACTGGAATCCAACTGCAAGTATAACACCAGTGCTCATCATGGTGAGCAAATATCTTCCTACCTGAGTCACAACCTGTAACATATGGATGTGATATAGCATTATTATACAAGGCAGTAGAAGGGGCTTATCTAGTTATCTTGCATATTTCAATTAATTCAGGAAAAATTTGGAATCTAAGCAAATATCTATATTTTGAATGTACCTAAAAGTAACTCATTTCTTGGAACCACAACAAATAACCATTTTTATTTTATCTTTTATTTTTTATTTTATCTTTTATTTTTTATTTTATCTTTTATTTTTTTGAAGTAAACAGTGAAGAAATTGTAGACTAAGAGCAAAGTTAACACTAATTTTAGACCCCAATAAAAAAACAAAATTTCATATGATGCAGATAAAAATATAATAAGCAACCTGAAATTTCAAAATAATTTTAGGAAATAACTGTCAACATAATTTCCCAAGAGCCAAAAAATTTAGCTCAAAGTAATTGAACTCACAGAAAAGAAAATTTCTTCTGCCTTCTCTACAGCTTTTCTGTACTCCCCTTCAACTTCTTTCACTTTCGATCCAGAAACCCTAACCAACATAGACTTCAGAGAATAAAGCGGCCCTTTCCTCTTCTTCACCTCGCCATTAGAACTCTCAGAGCTCGAGCTCGAGCTCTCTCCCTCCTCGGATCGAAAAGCTCTGCATCTCCAAGAACTCGCCCGATCACGATGCAGCTTCAATCTGATCCGATGCTTGTGATCGGTTCTCGAGAGATCGAGGAGCTGGATCTTCGCTACTGAGGCCGACGCCATTAGAGATTATCTTTAGCACAATTTTACGCCATTTTTTTGGGGTTTCCGATTTAAAAGGAGGCAAATTTTGGGGGGAAAAGATATTTAGCGAGCAACGTGATGTCCACACGTTAGGGCTACCTGATCTCGATGCCACGTGGATGGTTTAATGAGTGGGCCACGTCGTCAGATTTGGTTTGCGTTGCTTTCCCGCAACGGAAGGAGAAATCTTATGAGGATCTGGTGTACTGTGTGGAACAGCAAACAGGGGAGCTTTGTCACGACAGCTCAAAATATATTGGGAAATTCCTACATTTAAATATCTGTTGTGGATATGGTACGACAAAAGAAAAGGACGATATTATTTTAATAAAAGGCTCATATTCAAATTATATAGAGAGAGAGTGTGTGTGAAAGCGCGATCTGACCCGGTGTGTGATATCTCCGGATCATGGGTCGGGCTACGTCCGGCTCCAGACCTGGGACTAGAAAAATAGACTCGGTCTATCATTGACCCGGCTCGAACCACCATTGACCCGACTCGATGCAAAAAAGCAATTACAAGGATAGCAAACAAAACATTTCCTTTCCTTGAAGAATTTGATGAATATAAATTGGAGGAAATCTACTTGTACTTGTAATTTAAATTTAAACGGGGGGATAGTCATCGAGAACTTAAATTTAGAACTGGGATAATCTGTGGAATAAATTTTTTAGGACAAATTTTTAAAAGCAACTATTTTGCAATTTTAACAAGCAAAACCGACCTTCTCTAACAAAAAATAGCAAAATCGACCCCCTAATCCTCTCCCACCCCAACTCCTCTCCACCCCCCTCCTTCCTCGACAAGCTTACCCCGAAAACCCCCTCCTTCACAATCACAAACTCCGCCGACGCCTCTGCCAAATGCAGCGCGAAAACCACCTGAATCCTCCTCCTCGTCCTCCTGCCGATCCCAAAGCCCTCATCAAACCCTGACCAAAACCCTCCTCCCCTCCCCTCACGGTCTCCTCCTCCCTCGACAAGATCCCCATCGCCGGAGAATTGCCCATGAGATCCCCATGCCCTCATCAAAGAATCGAGTTCACGCAGTTGGCCCACGAGATCCCCATCGCCGGCGAAATCCTCCTCCCCGACGATCACAGACCCCCGTAGATCCTCGCCGTCGATCACACCCACCACCTGGTTCGTCACCATCACCACCAGATCGAAGACGTGGAAGGCGTGGGGGTGGAGGAGGAGGAAGGAGCTGGCGGCGAGGGGCGGAGGCGGAGGTGG